GAGTGAAGGTGGTGGAAAAACCCTTTGTCCAGGGTGGGACACACACACACACACCCGGATCGTAACAGGAAACACCTCTCCTTGCACGCAGATGAACCCAGATTTTCTGATTCCTCTTGATTCTTCAATCAATCTCAGTTTTGAGGGAATCAGAGATTCTGATTCCGTTGAGGAAGCACCTCATTTAAGCCCCTAGAAGCGAAAACACTCCAAATCTCCCGGTTAAACGCCGACACCGTCCATGTTTTGTTGTTCCATGAACCCAGGAGAGGGCGCGCCGTGCGGGTGCCTGGAGTGTCCGATTTGACACGCGTCTTTTGGATATGTCCGTAGATTTGGACCTGAGTGACCCCTGGTTTGGAGGACCAACTATCCAACATATGGTCTTTTCCTATCAAAAAAGCAGGTCAAAAGGGTTCTAGGTAGCTTTGGACCTTCCTGTCGGGGTGTCCAGCCTGGGGGTCCACAAGTAGTGAGCTCGGGCTTCCATGAGTGACCCCGGAATGAAGGTGGTGGCAGAGTTTGACCTACAACGGGTTCACAGTCCACGGTTTGCATGCTTTCTTCTTTTGCATTTCTTATATAAGTATAGGCAGTATAACGGTCAGCCTCAGTAGTCGAGGCACATTTATCTTATATAACAATTACAATTATATTGTGCTCAGCATTGTGCTCTCTCTGGACATCTATTGATGTGAATTTATGGCCCAAACTCAGCTTTTCAATTGCGATGGTTTGGCACCAAACCAAACGCCTCCAACCGAGGCCCAAACGTCGGCGCCGCGCCAAGACCACGGTCCCTCGAAGTGATGAAGAGGGTGAGGATGGTGGACGCGCCCGGTGGGAGGGAAAGGGCGCCTGTCATCGGCGCCGATCTAGGTCAAACTGCTTGGGTTTAGAGGTCAAGTTCTTGGCAGGTCATATGTGGTCATAAGACGTCATAGTTCAGAGGTTTAAGATTGGAGTTGCATGAGTTGCATGATGTAGTTGGCTGAGTTATAGTGCTTTGAGCAAAGTATTGTCTGCAGCTTTGAGGCAATACTGTTTGTCCAAATCCCTCAAGATCCCTCAAAATAGTTGATGGTCGCCGGTACAATATTGAAGTGAGCCAAAATAACAGATCCTCAGAGTCATTCGTGAAAGCCGAGCGCGGCCAGCGGCCAAATGGGTTTGGGGGGGTTCGGCAGATTGTGTTGAACGACGCTAGACTACGTCCCCTAAGAGTCCATTTATGGAATATTTGCCTACATAGAGCCTATAAGCCTATATAAGCATCTAAAAGACCTTAAAGCAACTTTAATGTAGGAGCATATTCCATACATAATCATGGATTGTTTGTGTGTGTGTTTTAGCTGTTCATTGATGGCTTGGATTTATTCAGACATGTGAACATTTTAGCATCTCGAGAGAGACTACCTGGTTGGATGCTGGAGAGAAGAGCTTTGTGGTTTTGGGAGCTGCCTAATTTTGCAACACCCCCCAAGGCCTTCCATGCAAAAGTGCTTTGTTGTCCTTGTGCAGGGTTTCCTTGGTGGAAGATTTGCTGCCGCTTGTCCTTCCCAATCCAAAGCACGACCTACCACGGCACTTGTCGTCGGCGCAAGGTAGTGGAGGATGATTGAGAAGGGATTTAGATGGGAATGCGATGATCCATCTTGTCCCTCATGGTCAAAGTGTTTCTGAGCACTGCATGACAAATGTCCATAGATTTCCCGTGGATAGTGGAGTAGTGCTTGTCTTGGACTAGCAGGGATTGCCAGAATATGTCTTCTGTCAACCTGCTTACCCCAAGTATTGTTATTTGCTCTTCCATTTCTTCCAAACAAACCTTTCAGGCATGTTCTTTTCCTTTTGCAGTGTTCGGTGTCCAATGAAAGGAGCCCGGTTCTTTCTTTTTGCGCCCACTGAAAGGAGCGCCGAGTTTGCAGCGACCGCATGCGACCGCATGTGACCGCACGATCAACGCCTGGGGTTTGCAGCAGTTCCCCAAAATGTGGAGACCAACGCCCGGCTGCGACGAACTTCTTTCATCGTACCATGAGAGACTGATCATCGGGAGCATTGAACGGAATGGATCAATGCTAACAGCTGAGAGACCCAGAGTTGCTCCAGGCAGATACACGAGTTCTTCCATAGCTCGGTGCTTGTGGCAGGGAGCTTTCGTAGGATATTCACTCAAACATATTAGCGAACACACGAATTGCAAGCTCCAATGGCGCCGTTCATGGCACAGAACAGTCATTGCGGGCTACAACGGGCTCCACTTCTTCCGGCCCAGAGATGAAGAACATATTGAACAGTCGAGTAGAAGGGGTGGAAACGCGATGTAATGATCTACACCCTGGAAGACTAACATGGAACCTGAAAACCCCTGGTTGGTAGAGGAACATAGTCTTCCATGGGAACATTGTCAGGGTCTATGTTATTTTTCGGGACTGTAATACATGCTAAAACCGTTTTTTTGGGCCGTGGGCTATGTGGAAATCGTGCATCCCCAGGGCCATCCAGGACCCTAACCCCGTTCCGGTCGGATTCAACGCCTGGAGACATGACACCTGTTGTGACCTTTTGGAGACATGAAGTCCCTTATTTTGTATTTATTTTGTAATCAAGGATGCCTTCATTAAATTGAAATGATGCCTAATCATGCTTTGTCATTCTATTCTCTTTGGCTTCCACACCGGCGATGGACTACTTCAGGGCTCAGCGAGCGAAGATGGGTCTTCCAAGAATGTGGCGTGATCCACTAATTCAAGTGTTTTCAGAATGGCACAGAAACCCAATACCTACGCAGCCAGTGGATAACCTTTATCCATTTTTTGGGGTGATTGGCTTTTTCCCCATTGAATGTGAACAGGAAAGGGGTGTCGACCGTTAGACCGCTTTAATTTCCCACCATCGAGTTTTGTGCTCGTGTGTCCTTCTATATGTTTGTTGCAGGGTTTTCGCTGTGGGGTGCAGCAGGATACCGACCGGGCAGACGAGGTACCGTGCTACCGGAGGGTCTTAATGTTGGTGGCCATGGGCCTGCTTGTGGCAAACCCTATGGATCCACAGACCGAACCTCAGAAGGTAATTGGACCTTCCAAGCCTACATAAATAGTCTCTGTTCTCATCTTCGCGTCTTCATAGGGAAATGGACACATTCTTGGATTACTTGTTCTTTCTGGTCATGTCCGGACCGCAAGAGGCCATGGACATGATCACATTTGGAACAGATATTTGGATTAGTTGGATATGATCGTGATATTGATATGTTTCCGGACCCCCCAATTAGACCCATGTTGGATCATGAAGTTGGCAGCTCTGTGTGTTGTGCCTGCGAGCAGCTGGCTTCTGGGTGATGAGGACCGCCGACCCCGAGAAAGTGCGGAGAGAGCCGCAAGGTCGGCGCCAGAGTGAGCAGGAGTGTATGTAGCCCATTTAAGCCTAGAACTCAGACCTGACCTCAGGATATTGATTGGTAAAGTTCGGAGAAAGCCATGTTTCGGAGAAAGCCATGTTTGAGCTCCATTAAACAATAAAAGCAGCTCGTTCACTCAGATTCTAGAATACATGCATATTATAAACATAACTACCAGACGTTTATGTGGGAGCCATCCCAACGCCCGGTCAACAAAATTGGAACCTCCACTGACTCCACTCCATATGCCAACCTCCAGATGCTCATGACACATGAGATCTTATTTCAGCTTTCCATCGTAGATCATGTCAGAAGACCCCTGCTCCCTCAGCACCTACGGGTGCACCGGTGCTTCAGTGTGGGAATGGTTGCAAGCACCGAACCTACTCGTCTCACCAGCACCCGATGTACCGTGCAGGGCGAGCGTCTCCGGATGCGAGCGTTTGCGATGAAGCCGAGAAGAATCCAAACTCTCTCCGTCACCCCCCCGATCTGGATGGTAAAACCTCTTTGGGTGTTTTAATTCATCAATCATCAATTTTCTATATTAGGTGGAATTCGGCTGAAGAAGAGGAAACTCCTTAACACCAAAAGCTGGGGAACTCACCAGAAGTCTCACAGAGCACCACTTACTGCTACGTATACCTATTTCACAGACGATCGGCACATTCCGATCGGGTGGGCGGAGCGGATATGTTCTTCGTCAAAGCCCCGACCCCTAGAGTCCGTAGTTGCAGTTGACCTGCCTTCCAGGACCATCTGACCATCTGGGTGTCCTGACTGATCCCTATAGCACTGGGATCTGCAGCCAGGACACCCAGAGGGTCAGATGCTCCTGGTCCCTTAGTCTATTCTGTTCTTTGTGGTCAACCAGGGTTTTGACATATCTTGACCCAAGGCCACATGTCTTCTTCCATCCGCCACCGTTCCAGAAGCCCAAGACCGGTGCAAGTCAGGGGCAATTCGGGGATCCCGCGACTTTCGGCTGTGGGCGGAGAAGGAATTTCTTCTTCCCACCAGTCGGACGGGGCAATTCGGCTTTCCATCTGAGGTGGGAACAGCGTGCGAACGGCATGCAGCAACGAGAAAAGAGACGGTGACCCTCACCCCTACACAAGGTGGAGAAAGCGGAACGTGTATCGGAACTGCACGTGCATGAATGAAGCGTGAATCCTCCAGAATGAGGACTGTCCCACCACAGATGGAAGCGGTGCACAATTCCACTGCTTGATTTTTTACTGCAGTGCAGGGTTCAGCGATTTCCTGATGCAGGCCTTCGCAGGGAAAGGCAGATGTCGAGGCAATCAGTTCACAGATCTTTCACTAGTTCCAAGACAATAAGCCAAGGAATTTACACCATGTTGCATAACTAGGTGATGGTTTCGGATATTTGTTTTAACCCTTACTTGGGGATGAAGAAGGACCCTCTGACTAATATTTTTCAAGTGGGTTGAAAACGCCAACCAGATTACTGTATATTATTCATGCATGTGTCATATAGCATACTGTCTAGTCGTAACTCGGTTGACTCGGTTGACCTCCATGCACGGGGATCCTTTCTTTGGGCTACCAGGTATAGCCCGCTGGGTTTGTCATCCATGCTTCCAGGGGCCAGTTCTCGGACTGCTCGATGCTAGCCATGTACCAGGGCCATCGAGCACGCTTCAAGAACCGGCCATCCATCCCAAAAACTGCCTTCGTCTGGAGGAGAGACTGTCTCGACCAAAATCCCAACTTTCAGTGTCCCCTTTCTTCGGACAGCCAACAGCTACTCTTGTTTCCTTTTGCCAGAACCATAATTGTTCCTGCCAATTTGGACTAGCTTGGTGGTAATGGTTTTACATGGTGTTTACCATCCTATCAACGGGACCCCCCTATGATCCCAATGCTTCACGGAAACATGGTCGACTTACGGCCGGGCGCCCGGATTGGGGTCGAAAAGAGGTATCGACGACCTCGATCCTTCGAAGGCCTTGCCGCATCGCATTGGATTGGGGTCTCCCGTCCTCGCGCGTTCGTCCTCCGTTCGATCGTGGCGTCGCACCGAGAGGACGAAAAGGTGCTCCGGGCGGGCACGGCACAGCCCCGGCAGGCACAGCCTGGCCGAGTTCCTGCGGGGGGGTAGAAAGAACGAGGAAAAGGTGCCTAGGTGCCTGTTTGGAAGGTTGAGAAAACGAAGTGGATGAAGGATGAAAGCCCCGAAAACCTGACCTTCCGCAACCCAAAAGGACGCTCTTCAAGAACTTGGCTGGAAGTTGGCACTTGTAGTTAATGGCAGGTCATTCACTCCTTGTCCAATGACCAAAAAGCTCCCCAGCCAGCATCCAAGGGCACTTGTTGCTAGCTTCCTTTAATCACGAGGCATGCATTGGAAAAAGAACCATCAGAACGCAGCTTGCTAGACGCTCAAATGACATGCATGACATGCGACAACAACCCACAAGTGACGAGAATGCACCTGATCGAAACTGAAGATGCGAAACTTGGCCAACCTCGTCGTTTTAAGGGTTTGTCACCCTTCAACTGAGAAATCCCAGGACCTCATGTGATGGTCTTACGAGTTTCCCGCGTTGCAGGTGTTACAACACACTGTTGTGAACAACAAGAAAGGGAGGAAAAAAGAAGGCATGGTCCATGGTGTTGGATCCGAGAGTCTCTGAAGAGTAGGAAGCTCTTGAAGGCAGATCCCCAATGAGGAGTCCTATATAACATGTTGGAGAAATCGTGAAAGTGCATGGTGACGGTGCATGGTCGATTCAAACGAATTAGAACAAATCTCTCAGCTTCTGGGGGAGTTCGTCCCCAACCCAGCTTGTCGGCCAACATAACTCAGGGAGACAAGCTGAAGCAACCAGAGTCCAGGAAGAGCAGAGAATGTTCTGCAATGACATACAATGACAACATTCTAAAGGAGCCATTCTTATGCAATGCCAGGCAACCAAAGACACCTGCACACATGCTGCCAGCTTGAAGCCGCTGAGCTGCTTATCCGCCATGTTTTCATCTTTGCGCAAATCTTTTGCCATCGTATTCTTGATCCTTAGCTGCTTTGAGGTACTCGTAGAGAGCTCTTAAAACGGTTCTTTGCGCCTGTGCCGCAACAATACCCCAAGCGATTCCTAAATGGTACTCCAAGCAAAACCCGCCTCATACATTGGTGACTTGCCCACTCTAGCTGTTGAATTATGGAGGTGAGGTTGATCACTTTGGGGTGGCATTTGGGTGGCGAAATTGAGTGCCCGGTTTGAGTCAGTCAGAGGTTTCAATGTCAAGATACCAGACAGGTCTGTTCTCGAAATGAATGCACCCAGCGAAAACGACACGGTATATAATAGATATATGGTATAATGTGTGCGTTTCATTATAAAGTAAATAAGTACATATTATATGCTTCATGTATAGTTGCCCCCAGTGGAATACACAACCGATTCCTCCCAAGTCATGTGATATTTACCTTCCAGACGATCTCGCTTTGGATCTTTGTGCAGGGCGTTCACCGTGGCTGGAACAGGGACGCAGCGTTGTTTCGTACTGAAACACACAGCTGCTTCCGCGATGGATCGACCGGCACGTTTTTTTAAACATGTATAATTAATGTATGAGTTCTCAATGCTTGGGTGTTCACGGATTTCGTATGTTTTCATGTTCCTACAGGCAGACCTCAATCATTCGTGCCCATGGTAATTAGTTGACTGTTTGCTTGCCTCTAAAAAAGTTCAAAAAGGACAGAAGAGCAATCCTTAGCCAGAAT